AGTCCGAAGTTTTTGGATTTTTTCGATCGAAAAAACGTTTTCAAAAAACGTAAAAGACACATATTCGTGATCAACGTCAAATTCTCTATTGAATAGGCTAAAAAAAACGGCAAATTTTTTTCTTCACTACATTTTTGCCTTATGTGCATCTTATATTTAAAGAAAATCTATTTTTGCGTGTGCCTTTCGAATTTCTGGCACCTTACTTAACTTAGCAAAAATGTGTCAGCAGAAGACCTTATTACACCTCACTACATTGGTTCTATGCGAATGAAAAATATTTTCGTCAAAATAATTTATTACATATTGAATAAATCTCGTTTCTTCTCAAATATATTTGCTTCACAAGATCAATCGCACCGAAACGTACCGATTTCGTGATCAAGTGCGCATGCTTCTAAGAAATTTCTTTTGAGAAAACTGACGCTAATTTCACTATCTTTTACCCGGTTTCTCTTCAGGAACATGATGCAGCTAACATCGTTCACTTCAGGCTTAGTTGTAGTTTGAAGTCAAAATGAATATACCGAGCAGTTTTATTTTGGCATCTTCCTCTAGAACATTAAGATTTGCCTAATTTTCCAATGTGATTCGAGTTACCACATCTGCGAACGAACAGAACAAAGTAAAAGGATGCAAAATCTATCCAATAAAAAGAAGAATTATTTTTTATTGATTATCTCTTCAATTGATTTGGCATGTTTTACAGTATCGAATGGTACGATGTACCGACGAATAATTGCCGCTGTACTCGGGCAACAATATTCCGCCACCCAATTCTGGCGCAATTTGTCCTAAAGAAAGAGACATCAGATAGAAAACCTGTATAGTACGATGTTTGTACTATACAAAACCGATGGTCCATCGATGAGAAATTAGAAGGAGCTTTTAATTTGGGATCCTGGGTTGGTCAGTTGGAGAAAAGCTGCATCATGGTCATCAAATCATATCGAGGTTTCGAAAATAATCGAAGATTGGCATTGCATGTCACTCGAAGGCTAGATGGTAGCCTCTGGGTGGCTGAATGCAGAATACAGCTTGCCACAAGTGATACGTGGTCTACTCCAAAACCAGGCCTAATGGTGGTGGCAGCGGGCCAGGATGTCAGCTGCGGATACAAAGCGGGTTTTGGCATGATGTATGACTTTCACCATGGGATGTAGGCACCAAGAAACAGAAGGAAATAATGAAGACTAAGTATTCTCGTGAATAAGAAGTTTTGTAAGAGAATCTTCGAACTCGTACAAAGTAACGTAATACATAATAAAATGAGAAGCAGAATGGTGAGATGGTGTTGCACAATGCAACTGAAACAGTTAGCGATATTGCACACTGCAATACAACACGAAGAAGCAAAATCTAGCAAGAAGAAGAGCACAGCTATAGAGTATAAGTATATGTACAGTGAGAGGCTCAAATTAGTTCTCTTATGCATTTGGAACCAGAATTGACGATGAACGGTGATACTGTTTCAGTCTTTCGACGTGAATAGACGAAAAAACCGCATCATCCTCTAAAGAAACCAGTTCATAGTCTAGAGGACCAATCTTGCGTGAAATTCGAAAAGGACCGATCCATTTAGGAGCCAATTTAGGAAGGGCCCATTTGCCTAAGGCTGATCCTGAGATGTTAGCCATCAAAACAGGTCACCTTCTTTAAATTGGACATCAATGAGCAGCATGGCTGTATTAGCTAATGGCTAGGACAACGTATTTACAAGTGCCGCGTTCGAACCCATCTAGTGACGATAACAACTATGTAATGGTCTTGGGCAAGCTATTCATGTTCATTGCCTCAGACCGTGACCTATAGATGAATATAATGGGGCTTGCCTCGATTTTCAGCTGGTCACGTGCCCTGGGTGTTTAAAAAAAAAAAAAATTGGACATCTTTACGATGTCGATCATAAAGAAACTTTTGTCCTTGTTGAGCAATTTCCAAATTTTCTCTGACCGACTGATGTGCAGAGGCAATAATAGCTTTAAGTCGTTCAGTGTAGGCTCGGACTTCCTCAGATGATTTTAACTCATCAAGAACATCCGTTTCGGGACCGTACATGAGATCGAGTGGTAGTTTCAGTTCTCGACCATACATTAAAAATGCTGGACTGTGACCAGTGGATTCATTTATG